TGGTCAAAGCAGCAGCCGAAGGTCAAGGATTGCAGGCTACTTGGCAAGGTGACATCTGCCAAACTTTTGTTGAATCTGTCGCCGAAGGTCAACGTCTGTAGGCTACTTGGCAAGGTAACACCTTCCAAGCTCTGGTTGAACCGGCTGCCAAAGGTCAAACTAAGCAGGCTGCTTGGCAAAGCAACACCTTTCAAGCTCTCGTTGAAAGAGTAGGCAAAGGTCAAAGTCTGAAGACTGCTCGGAAAGGTGACGCCTTCCAAGCTCTGGTCGAACTCGTCGTCGAAAACCAACGAGACAATCCCATCAATGGGACTTGCATCGCCTTCCAGGGCTCGCTGCAAACTCACTGCTGCCTCTCCAGCAGATACTTTCCTGGCCACGAAAGTCACCTCTTCACCAGTCACTTGTTGTAGGAGGGGCTTGGAATGGTCCAGGACATGACCGCCAGAAGTAAGCACCAGGGCTCGACCAGCGCAACTCATGCTACTCTGGGCCACAATGATTCTTGACAAATCATTCACCTTGGCTGGAATGGCACCTGCATCTCAATGTTTTGAACTAAATGGTTCCATGCATTCTTCCTGGGAGCGTTGCGAAGAAAAGAATTGCGTAGCAAACACATCTGCATCAATACATTTGGGATCATTTGGGACTTATACAGCTATTTGTACGTGTGCTACAAGTACACCTGCAGCTTGCAGGTGTGGTCTTCTAAAGCTGCTGCTACGGTGGTGATACATTTGCGACTTATATGTAGGTATGCTACAATAGGTATGCTACGAGTACACCTGCAGCTAGCATCAACTAGCAGGTATGGTTGTGAAGAGTTGCTGCTACGCTAGCATTGCTTTTCCGCTGGGATCTTGCTTGAGTGAGTTGTTTTGGTGCTGGGTCTTGCTTGGGTGAAATGCTTTGGTGCTGGAGCTTGCTTGCGTAACTCTCGCTGAGGTCTTGCTTAAGTAAAGTCATATGCAAAGTCAAGTATAACTTTCGCTGGGGTCTTGCTTAAGTAAAGTTTTACGCACAGTCAATTATAACTTTTGCAGGGGTCTTGCTAAGTCATATGAGCAGCGGACAAAATTACTTGTGTAGCCAAATGCCATTTGACATGATTATCGTTTTTGGTGGGGTCCATATTGTTCTCCAATGTTTCTCCAAACCGCTACCGGCACATAGACTAAAACACAAAATATCACAACCTTAGATTAGAGTCTTAGAGGCTTACAGTGCTTTCTGCTCAAATATGCTCAAATAAACATGCAAATGCAATAACATATTGTAACCACAAACGTCTTTGTACCCACTACAGTACGTCTTAACAAGATTATCGTTTTTGGTGGGGACCATATCGTTTTCCACAGAAATGAAGCCCTCAACATAGGTTTAGGGTCATGCCGTGACTAAATAAGTCAACCAATAATTTTGTCCGTCGCTCATATGCAAAATCAAGTATGACTTTCGCTGGGGTCTTGCTTCAGTCGGCACATATCATATGAACACTAAAGTGGACATGTTAACATAGAGTGAAGCATATTATGCTTGCTCGCGCGTGCGTGACACATGTCGGCTCTTTATCTAATCTTTCTTAGGCAGGGGCCTGGCCGGACAGGGCCGTGGCCGGAGATCGTGTGTGTTGAGTGCTCAAACGTGCAGCGAAATGCAAATTATGCCGAACCCTTTGCAGGAATCATGCGTGTTTGTTTTTTCTTCTAGCTACTGGCTTGGTAGTAGAACTCCCAAACGAAGTCAACCAATAATCAATCCTAATCGATGGTTTAACAGTTATTTAACACATCCAGGTCACAGTCGTAGCATCCTCAACTGCAACCTGAAATGACGAACCATCCATGCCGTGGATGCTCAATTTGCATCGAGACATGTTGCCTTCAGCAACCACCTCTTCTTTCGTCTTTGACGGTTGTGCTCTTTCTGCATCCTCTGCTGGGACGTCTGCACACCTTGCTTCTGCCACTGGCCTCAGTGTTTGATGTCACTGCCCCTGAAGGATGAGTTGCTGAGTAAAAGCTTAATCTGGAGCCTGGAGGGCGTATTCAACTCAGCCATCGGTTTCACATGATGCACATTGACAATCTTTTTGAGATCCGAGATCGATGTATGATTGTACACATGAACTACGAGCAACGCCATTTGCACTTTCCAATGTTTCATGTTTCCCCAAATTGACCTATCGGATGTGGATGGACGTAGTGTCGATCGAAAAACACAACATATAAAGCCATATACGCTCCACCGAGCGACATCAGCCGCTCCACCTGGCGCAGCAGCCGCTGCGCGCCCGTCACATCTTGGCAAAGCACGCTCAGCAGCGCCTCGTCGTCCGGGTCCGCTGACAAGAAGGTGGAGGCATTGACACTCGAAGCACCAGCGCCCATGGGGAGGGTTCACTTGCAAAACGCGAGGACGACCAAGTCCATCTGATCCAATGTGTTCTTGAAATGGGTTTGATTCCATTGTGGTTAAGGGTGAACATATGATCCTTGGTCATGTTGGGTCACTTTATATATATTATATGAAACCGATGACAAATAGGTCGCACAAGGTTTTTCAGCAGCTGTAAAGTGAGGGTCCATCTTTCTCCATCTGGTACTAGCAGCCTGGTCGAGTTGTCAATATGTCTTTGAGTTTCGTCAAGCTCCTCTGGGCATGAATCCATGGTGAGACATCGGGAAGCTCGACGTTTTAAAGTGGGCAGCTCGGAGTGTCACTGAGAAAAAAACCCGATGTGATTGTATTCTGTTGAAGTCAGCATGTATGTTTCAACACACGGATATACAGTTTCTCTATCCGATCAGGTTGGCTATCCGAAAGCAGTGTCAGTTCTTTCAATGCGACCGGTGCTCAAAGGCGCCTCCTTCTTTCGCAGTGGAGGCCTGGAAGGATCCGCTGGCGAAAGAAGGAAACAACCGCTGACCGACCGACGGGTTTCGCATCGTCAGGAAGGTAGAAACACTTGAAACCAATAGCATCATCAAAAAACAACGAAGAAACACACCTCCTTGACATCCATTGCATGCACCATGTTTATTCGTGTTTTAAACAGCGGCCCGTGTTTCATTTTCCTGGTCACCTCAAACCCAAAACAACTCACCAAACACAATCCGCTCCCCCCGCCATGCGATCCGGTTTCTCCCTGTCGGACCTGCCGTCGTGTCGACCGGAGTTTTCCCGGGTCGGTCTGTGTTGCAGAGCGCGGTGGTCGAGCCAGGCAATGCGGGCGAAAGTTTGGAATTTTGGTGCTTGGAGCAAGTCCCACAGATTCTCATGGTTCCCAGGTGTTGGACACGTGTGTCCCCACCCATCACATAGGGGCCATGAGGTGATTCAAAGAGCCCATGCAGTTACACTTCAACCCATCCCCATTTCGAGTCAGTTGCATTCTGCCCGGAAACGCAGACGCTCAATGAGTAGGGGCTTCTGGCAAACGATCTCCGGAATGCCAAGCCCGTGGTTGACTATGGCCGAAGGTTCCATAATGTATTGATACTGTCTGCCGAAGGTCAGCGAATGGGATCTGAGATTGCAAGCCGTAGCATTTCATTGTTCTCAGGAGTACCTCCATCTCTCACTTGCAAACTGCACAGCTTAACACAACAAATTGTTTTAGTTCGAGTGATCCCCACCCTGAAAGGCGACTTGTGCGGATTGACACGATGTTCTGACGCTTGTTCTGGCATCAAATCTGGTTTGTGCTCTGACACTTCATCTATCATAAAGGCTGGGAAGCCTTCTGGACTTTGTTCAGACAGCTAGGTTGGCCTGTGTTCTGACATTTTTTCCTGTCTGACATGTGCTGTGACATATGGACCAACTTCAATCCTGGTATGTGTCCTGGCATGTAATCCTACATTGGTTGTCCTGGCATAAAATCAGACATTCTATCTGGCAATATCTGGCATATACTCTGAGTTCTATCTGGCAAAGTTGCTGGCATTCTATCTACCACAACTGCTTGCACTTCATCCGGCATTCTACCTGGAATTCTACAGCGCCCACTGCGATCGGGAGCTGGCGGTTGAGGTCCGGCAGTGCCCACTGTGATCTGGCGCTTGCTGTTGAGGTCCGGTAGTGCCCACTGCCATCTGGCATTTGCTTTTAAAGTCCGGAAGCGCCCACTGCGATCTGGCTCTTGCTGAAAAACGTGTTTAAGTTTAGCTATTGGTCATGTTGTAGTGGTTGCATATGGCGACTTGTGTGTGTGGAACCAAGTGCGAATCGCTTGCTAAACAACGAAAACTTCTCAGCAGTCCAAACGCGCTTCGTTTTTGGCCACTCACGTCCGCAAAATTCCTGCTCGTGGTCACACGTCGGTTCCTTAGATGGCCGGTCAGTCACCGTGCTCCTTTGTAGCGACGCGAGGACTTGACAGGGATACGACGCCAGGAATGTTCAGGGGGCTTCTTGTGAGATACCTCTTCCAAGAAACATCTGGTTTTTCTTTGGATACATCCTTCAAAATCGACGTGGCGAAGTGGGTCCAAAGATCAGAGTCCGTTCGACCGAGCCTCTCGTCACAAGCTGGTAGGAAGTTTCCCTCCCCAGGCGACTGGCCAGTTGCTACACTGTTCTACCATTAAAGGAGTCTTGAACTAAGTAACAAGAAGCTACGTTAGGAACAAAGGGCATCGCTACGAACGGAGCGATCAAACGCTACAAACGGCGCACTTCGCGGCGGCGGTGTCGTGCGGAGCGAGGTCGTTTGGGAGAAAGGTGTTGCAGCTTCAAAATGAATAAATACAGTCAATCAACAGGATGGAGTATATAATATACGTACTATTATCATACACAGTACCTTTAAAAGGTACATGTTTGAGATGCATCACTGCATGGGGGGGCAGTGATAGGGAGAGTCACATCACCTGAACAGAAAAGTCACATCATCCCCAATTCACAGAATACATCAGATCAAGCGCGTCTCCATCTCTGAATCCAGAAAAGTGATGTGCAATGAGGTGCACACCACCATAATATTTAGATATACTTAGCACCTGTTGAAGTGGCACCACGAAAACACTCACAACACCTCGGTTGGGCGGCCGAACCTTGGTGAAACTCCTTGAGATCCATCAGGAAATGGCCACGTTGGTCAAAGACTTGGCGCGGACCGGCCCCTGTGGCAGGCCAAAACGAGCTGGCCAAAACGCATCGTTTCGAAGGATCATGCGGGTTCGTTTGAGCAAATGTGTGGGTCAAACATAATTGAAGTGGCAGCTGTTCTTGTTTATACATGCCACTTTTGGGCCACCATGTTTTCCCAGCTTCGCTCATAGTTTTCAGATCAAACTTTATAGATTTGGCTCTTCCACTGGGCCAAGTAGCAATTAGACTCAGTCATTCCTCACCAGGTGCCCAATTCCCCCCCCGAACCAGCCCACCAACCCGACTCCCAGCCACCGATTCGGCTGTCCGAAGCTCCCCCGGAGTTGGCGCGTCGCGTTGTGCCGATTGAAATCAAACCCATCCGATGTTTTTTGGAACACGCCCTTAGCAGCCGATCGTGATAATCTTCTTTCAGGTGATCACAGGTGAACAAAAAACAAACATGATTTGGCTGCGGATAATGGCACGACATCTAATCCTTGCTTGGTTGACCTCTCTTGTAGTCGATTCTGTTCATTTTCACAAAACAGGTCCTCCTGTTTTGACCCGCCAGTCCTTCCACTGACCGTACACGCTAAAGCGGCCGCTCCTCCTTCATCATCATCGTGGCTCCATCGAAGGAGGCCTTCAAAGACGGCACCGAAGGGAGCAAAGCGACGACGGTATGTTATTTTTTCGGAAGCACTGGCACCAGCTGGTACTAGTAGAAGACAAGCACATGCTGTTATGTTTTTGTTGAATCTGCAAAGAAAGTGGGGCTTGAAAGCACGTGAAAGCACAACGTTCATCTGCAAGTTGGTCACCTCAAAGGTTTGGAAGGAGCGCATGAGGATGCATGAGGGTAATTCGACGGTGAAAGCTTCATGTAGCATCATGTAGCGTTGTAGCAAGCAAACATAATATTGGACACCGAATCCTTGTGGAAGACAATTGTAGATGATTGAACAAAAGGCATCAGCTGTAAACAGCAAAAAAGCAAGCAAACGGACAACCTGGACACCCAAACAACACCCCAAACTCCAACTAAACCTGAGAAAACACGTGTGAGTACACGATCTGGAATGGGGACAGCGTCCCATGGATCTCTTTTTACTTGTCTCCCGATTCGAACCGAGACAAACCCACGTGGCAATCCTTGGGATTCACAGCTTTTTCCGCCAGGGAACAAAAGCAATTTGTCAATTTGTGTCATTGTTTTTGTCTGGCCCTGTTTTTTTCCTTTTTGTGGTTATCGTCCCTTGCTGTCAGTGTCTGTGTGTCAGATAGATTCCCCATGGGTTCTGTTTGCCCTTGTCTCAAGGCAAAAGAGTTTCATCCCAACACACTCAACGATTGGCTCGCACGCCGTTGTCGTTCGGATCAAAAGGTGAAGTTTGGCAGTTGTAGATCTCAGCCTATGTCGTTTTCTCCTTGACTTGTTGCCAACCCCTGGCAGGTGCTGGCACGCTAGAAGCATCCGCCAGCGAGCAAGTGGCGCAGTTCCCAGCTTGGATCGTGGATCCTGCTTCAGCGCTGTGACGAGGTTGCGGTGTGGCACGAAATTCGACGCCGAACAGCGAAGCAGCGACCGGCCGCGTCCCACGAAGACTTCCGCGTCCCGGCGGGTTGAAACCTCACACTTCTCGTTCGTCAGCAAGGATGGCTGCACTTGACCCCAGACCTGAAGTGGTGGCAGATGCATCTGGCATCTGGTTTTAGGGGTTTCTCAAAAGGCAGGGTGGAAGGGAGTAACCTGAACAGCTGAGTGTTCTTCAGAACACTCTGAAATAATCAGCTTTTAGACACAAAACTGTTCAAAATTGACTTGCCCAACATAATCCAAGAAGTGCTCTCTCCTCATAAATCAAGCATGGGTGGTTTGGTTCCATGAGCAAAACCAAACTTTAAACAGAAAAAACCTGCGACTGTGGCAAGGACATCCCGGCAAAAAATAAGAAGCAAAACACACACCCTCCAACAAAAATACAAGGTGTTTATGGATCAATCATGACCAATCACCTAAACTCACCTCATTCCTTTTGGGGTCTGGTAGTCCTGAAGAGACTGGGTGCCCGTTGGGAGCCAGGTACCCTCCAAGAAGGACCGAGAGTCGCACAAAAACAGCCGCTGAATAGGGTGACATGATCGACAAATCAATTGTGGCCAGAATCGGAGGGGAAACGATGGAATTGCTCTATGTGGGATCTCCTCACACAAGCAGAAAAAAGTACATGAAATTTCATGAAATGTATACCTCTTGTAAGTCATCTGAGTTTCTGAACCAAATGCCTCTGGTAATCCCCTAACAAAAACGAAACATCACGCAACCGCCAGCCACCGGAACGTGGTGCACCTTGGAGATGTTCTTCACGTTCACCGTGTCACGCGCACTGCCCACCTCCAAATTTCCCACCATGGGCCGTGAGCCCTGCGGAACGTGGAGACGCGCGCGATGGAGGGCCCGGTGGACTGCAAAAGCCGCAGATTGTGTGGGGTGCATTGGGCGAAAGCCAAAGAAGCCGAAGTGTGGGATGAATGAAGATATACTAGCAATGTACTCTAAGTCTGTGGGATCCTTTTTGTACTTAGCTTAGTACTAGTGGTTTAAAATTTGGGATGTGTTAGTTGTTGCTGCAACATTGTTGCTGAGTCTTTTTTTATGAAGAATCCTCAACGAAGAACCCACTCACGCAGGGCGGAACCAAAACAAAGGATAGATTCAGCACCGGATCAACTCGGAGCGGCTGGGCAGTCGGATCAGTGCTGGGCAGTCGGACGGTCTCCCCCTCCCAAATATGAAATATAGCACCTTCCAACAGGTGGTTTCTGGATACCTCTTAACCACTAAGAGGCGATGTATAGACACCTCTTGGTTTCGGTCCTGATATGCATATATACCCTAATCACATCTTATCAGACCCTATCATTCTACCGTGGCACCTTGTCGTGGCACCTTCTTCGTTAGCTCCAGCGCTAAACACAAGTCAGCCGAAAGAAACAACAGTACGCAAGGGGTCCAAAGTATTTCACCAAGCCAATCCCACCACCAAGACTACAGGACCTCCCTGAGGCTCCCACTAGCTCCGTTTTTGCGGTATTTGGGCTGGGATGCTGGGGCAGGTGGGCTTGAGTCATAATGCGCGAAACATTGGTGCATCTACTTGGTTTGGTTGATAGAAACTATAGCACGCTACTGGAACCGAGAGGTAACTTCGAGCTCTTTGTGTTGGAGGAAAACATCTTGAGCACTAAATCGACCAGCAAATCAATGTCCTGCAGTCCTGCAAACATCATCATGGACATCAACCATCAATCTCTTCTTTCGTTTGCCATCCCCAAAGGCTCCATCAAAACTGGAGCCAGTCCTCTGATCTACAATCGCTTAGAGATGCAATTCGAGAGATTGACCACCTAAGATCTCTTATAGTTCTTATACAGCTCAGAGCTATATCATCTCCACATAAAGCGACTGTAGGGTCGACGAACATCGGCGAACCTTCACCTGGAACCCGACCCCGCCTCTGCAGCACCACTGGGCGGATCCAGCAGCTCACAAACTTCGTCCTCGAGTTCAGAACGGCTACGAAAAGAACCGCCACTCAGAACCGCGAGAAGATGTCATAGGAGTCATATCATCTTAAATCAATCTGATTTTCGAATATCTTTTTTGGGGGAAGACCCTTAAACCGTTGAAATCAACGCTTTCTCAACGCAAACAATAAAAAACGCCCATCGTTACGGAAGATTGAGATCCATTTCGATCCGATCATGTTGCCTCCGGTGTTTTTGAGTCGCACGACCGCAGTGGACAACTCGACGACCTCTCCGGGTGTCCGAGGATGCCTCCGCCCCTTTGTTTTTCACGGCCGCAAGAACCATCGCCTGAAGGGCGAAGGACGTGAAGGCGGGTGGTTAGGTACCAGGATGCACCGGCTCTGAATCTTTATTGTGTGGGGCGCTGCAAACACATCACAAGTTCACACTATTTTGAGCAAGTTCATGCAAGTTCATACAATGGTTTTGCCATGTTTTGCAAGTGGATGTTGAGTGATTTTGTTGATGGACAAATTGTTCAGGAAGCTCGGAAGTCCCATCAAAGGCATGCCCATCTCACGGACTGTGATAAGAATCTTCAGGGGGGATATGACGAGCATGATGAAGAAGCAAGTTCGTATGCCCATCTCAAGTTCAGAGGCACTTTCACCAGAAGCAGGCAGCACAAGGTCAGTCGGCCACACGAAAAACCGTCGGCTTCTCCAGTCTTTCGGTCACCCCGGTGCTCGAACAGGGGGGGGCTCTTCTCGGTCCAAAGGGACTGTTTCCGTCGGAGACTGGGAAGTTGGATGGGAAAAGAACCAAGACCCGGGTTTCGTGCACCCATGTCACCAATGGTACCTATGGTATACAATTACCAGCAAAGTGGATTGTAGCTCCTAAGTTGCAAAACTCAGCACATCCATCGTTCGAAATATCCGCCACGTTTTTTTTGAACACAAGGTCACCGGCGTCCTTCCCACCGAGACATCGCTCTCTTCCCGCTACCTGGCTCTCGAGGCCCCTCATCTTTCCAGGTTTGATGTTGCAGTACACCACCACCTGGGCACTGGTAACAAGGACGCTACTAACAAAGGGCATCGCTACTAGGAACAAGAACGCTACGTTTGGGGCTCCTGGCCGTACTACGAGGAGCGATCGGACGCTACGAACGTCACCAAGGGCATCGCGACTCGATCGGAGCGATCGGACGCTACGAACGGGGCTCCTGGCCTTACTACTAGTAACAAGGAGCTATTAGGAACAAGTGCATCGCTTCTAGTAACAAGTGCCTTACTAGTAGTAACAAGAAGCTACGAACGGGGCTCCTGGCCCTAGTGACAAGGAGCTAACACCACCTGCGATCGGTCCGATGAGTCCCAACCCGCGAACCATGTGGGGAGGCAGACGAGAGGTCACGTGCGAATCAACCATGAGTGCTTTCCATGGGTGTTTCTCTCAAACCCGGAACCATCTGGACCATGTAAGGACTCGCCCTGGTTTCGGGCCTCGAAGCCCTGTCCTCCGGGCCCATGTGGAAGAACACCCAGTATATATATGTACCCCATGGAAAACTAACATGGACCCTGAAGACCACTGGTTTGTAGAGGAAAACATTCTTTCCGGGTCCCATTTCCAGGGTCCATGTCAGTTTTCGGGAGTGTATATCGACATAATATTGAGTCGCCGACTTCCCACAAGATCAGCAAGGACCTATATAATACAAACTATCAGGTGAGACTCCAACAACAAACGATGCTTGGATGTCCCAAACAGCAAGCTAGATCGAGTGCGGACCTGTTCTATTCAAACAAACAAATTGCATCATCCCTCTCGCCTCCTTTTCCCCAAAACGAGAACGACGACATTGCGGCACCGCCCCGCCACCAGATCTCCGGTCCGACATGACGGCATCAGTCGGCTCTGCACCTGTCGGTTTTTGAGTTCCTCTTCCTTGTAGTGTTTCACCAGAGAGGACACCACCTGCCAAGCCCAGTGTCCACCCCTTGCGCAGTGGTCTAGCTCTAGCCGTTGATCGGCAGGGCAACTACTCTGATTTCACTACCCTGAGTGCCAGAATCTTCAAGTCCCCCAAGTCCGCAGCCGTTCGAACGAACTTTTGATCCCCATCCATGCTGTTTCTTTCGAAAAAAAACGGTTGCCATATATCTCCCAGATTTCGTTCTGCGCGCACAAAAAATGCTGACCGGTTTGATCCGTTTATTTCGTAGTCATTGAAGCCTGTCCCACACAAAGGGCCCGACTGGGATCCACAGCTGGGCCGAGAAATCCACAACTGCACCGAAACGAAAAGAAGGTATCGAGCACCGTGGCGGCCAACGACAAGAAGGTGAAAACGAAAGCCAGTGGAGCGCTGTAGCCGTGCTTTATGTTATATTCTGCAGGCGCTAGCGGGCCAATCATTTGGGAGAGGTACAGGGAGGTATCCGTTCTTGCCCATTCTTGCAAGGAAATCGACCTAGGGTCACCCACGGTCCACACTGTGGGAGCCCCTCGAGTTCAAAGGTTAACTTGTGCAATCCATCTTATATCGTCCTGTTTTTCCCCACCTGTCAGGTGAGGGTTGTTCGATTTTATGTCAGCCCCATCTCCTTCCTTCCCCTTCGTCTCCTCCTCGTCCTCCTCCGGATCTCAACCACGACCTTCCATGCCCAGTGTTCCCTGCCTGCCGGACCTCAACCACGACCATCCTCGCCCAGTGTTCCCTGCCGGACCTTAACCACGACCATCCACGCCCAGTGTTCCCCGCCGGACCTCAACCACAGCACACAACCACAACCACAATTACAAACACATAACCACAAACACAACCACAAACACAACAACAATCACACAACTACAAACACACAATCACAAACACATAATCACAAACACACAATCACAAACACAATTACAAACACATATATATATATAACCACAAACACACAACCACAAACACAACAACTACAAACACAATCAGAAACACACAATCACAAAAAAAAACAACTACAAAAACAACCAGAAACACACAGTCACAAACACAAAACCACAAGCACAAAACCACACAACCGCAAACACACATAACCACAAACACACAACCACAAACAC